AGATATTTCATGGGCAGAACATGGAGATCTTTCAACAACTTGGTGTTTTTGTAGAGGTTGAAACCCATGGGGCCCCCATGGGGCCATAAAACGTCACCATAGGTCACCCCCTACAGCACTTCGTGAAGTTGGTCCATCCCTTCCAGCCCCCGCTGCAAATGGTCCATAAAAAGCAACTATAGGATTTGGGGTATCTAAATGGGGTACCTATAAATATCTATAAATATCGAATCTATAAATATCTATAAATATCTATAAACATCTATAAATATCTATAAATATCTATAAATCTAATTCATAAATTTGGGATGAATGGTCAAGCAGCTGTAAAGAAAGCCCAGACCTGCTTCCAATTCAGCCAGGAAATCTTCATCGTAGACCTCAAAAAAAGTTTTTTGCAAAAATGGGGGGGGTTCAGCAATGATTTTATGGGAATATCATGGTGGTATATGTATATAACAATCTTGATATATCTTGATATGAAATGTGGGATAGCCCCAAAATAGCCACTCGATAGGGAAAATGATGATAGGCCAGTGGATTGAGGGGTAGCCTACTTTCGGCGCCGCATGTGTCAGTTGTGATATTGACCAGCGAAAAATGGAAGAGGACTACGGCTAAGCCACAATCCATTTCAATGGTCCATATTTTTCTTTGATGGACGTGTAAACCCCATACATGCACATACTAAGATACACAAATCATACAACTTATAAACATGTGTGTATATATATAATGTAAATATGTAGACATACTTAAAGACAATATAAATAATATACATGGATATTATATATATATATATATTATTTATATATATTATATATATATATTAAATACATAGCTGGTGATATTCTGAGTCCTGTTCCTCTTCCGGCTGAGTGTTGCGCAAATTTCTTGCCACCGGTGGGCCAGGGAAAACCACAGCCTCAGCCAGCGATTTTTTGGGGGTTCCCCCAACTCACAAGTTGGAAATACAGAAATCCCAGGGAACCAATGACGGATTCCCGTCGGTTTGTGTGTGTTTACTGAAGGGTAATCCATGGTAATCCTTCAATCCATGGAATCTTTCATCACAACTCATCTCAAGGAATCCTAGGGAATAATCCCCAGGGTTAACATCATGGGCTTTGTGGGGGATCTAACTATCGTATTCATGAGGTTTTCAATCATTTATGAACCGATATGAAGCAGCTAAAATCACTGGGCCTCATCAAGACTTTCTAGTCGGGGCATCTGCCAGGCCGCAGCCGATATATTCCGATTCAATGACCGCTTTGAACCGCGCAGGTTCGAGCTTCGCCGGCCTCAGAATACGCTGAAAAAACGAAGAAATTTAACGGTTGATCCCCAACTGACATATCTTCTGACATGCTATATCTGCTTGCATTCTATCTGACATATGCGCTGACATGTTCGGCATTCCATGTGGCATTGTGGCATTACTCACATTGTATCTGACATGGTGCTCGGGTCAAGCCCCAGAGAGCCCGAAGTTGCCTGATGAATCCCATCTGGCAACAGACCATCTTTTTTTGGCACCAGAAAATGAAGAAATCCAGCACTGAACATTAGGGTACTAAACTGAGTTGGGCTCGATCCTTTGGGGGAAGGGATTACCCAGGTCTTGCGAATGGTGGATGATCAAGAAAAAAAAAGCAGCATCCGAGTTACTAACATTATGTAATGATTGTGGTATCGTTGGTTAATCAGCAGCGACCGGTCACTTGTCACATTCACCCTCTGACTTGACCCGCACTGGAAGCGCATATCCTAGACTCCTAGACTAAGACAACAAAAAGCGACGAAAGTTAGAATGAGTCACCAACAAAACCTGGTGATCAAAACTCCAAATCACGCTGCATCGAAGTCTTTCAATTTTTGCTGAAAAAAATACAATTTATGTGTGATAAGTATTGATAAGTCCCCTTATGAAACCCTTGTAAAACCAACCTAACATTATGGTAACCTTTAAGAACCCGCCAGTTCTGAGGGCAGAACACAGGCCTTCCAGGCATCTCTAAGGTCCTGGTGTGTGCTTGGATCACCGATGACAATGTGGGGATTTTGATGGGATTTTATTATCAAACATGAGGAAATTCATGATTTAGGACACTTTTGAAAAGAGAACATATGCGAATGGTAGATGGGTCAATTTTCATGGATTTTCCATAAATCTCAGGATACATCTCCTGGAAAATCCCAGCTATTTTAAGGGATAGCCCAGGGCGATCCCTAGGTTTTGACCCAGCAGTTGTTTGGTGATCTGGAGGATCACCCACGGATAAGTACGGGTTAAAGCTCCTGTGATGAGGCAACCCCCAACAATAGCTAAGTTTTTTTTGTTTGGCGATATATATATATATGTATAATATAATATATAATATAATATATATAATATATATAATATATATAATATAATTATATATATAATATCTTATATACATATATAATATTCAATTTATCTATTTATGATTTATCTATCCAAAAATCATCCAGATCTCCGAGATGTCCACTCTAAGCTGGCCTGCAGGTCCGCTGCGAAGCCTCCGATGCCTCCGAAGCCTCCGTCTTCTTCGTCTTCTCCACGTGCTCAGGGCGCAACAGCTCTGGTCTTAGGTGCACCTGAACTTCACAGATAGATCATAGCTCAGTGATCCATATATATATACTATATACATACAGATATTACAATATATTATAAAATGTATATAATGTTATATACATAATATAATATAATACAATAATATAATTAATATAATGTAATATGATATAATATAATATAATATAATATAATATAGAATAAAAATAATATAACATAATATATCATAATATATCATAATATATCATAATATATCATAATATATCATAATATATACAATACAATATATCAAAATATATATTGTAAATATTACAACAGCGAACTCTATGCCTCTATGCTTCAACCAAATGCTCAAACCCAAAGCAAGAAACACACCGTAAGTTCAGCCAATGAGAAAGACACTTTCTGAAGTCCAAAATTGTTGCAACAGCAACATCGGCCAAACATCTCATCTCTCTTTTGACAGCATGTACGGGATGGTCGTCAAGATTACCAGTTGCATTCACGACTTGTTGTTTGAAGATGTTTGAAGTGGAACGAGAAACCAGAAACCCATCAGTTTCATAATCCCAACAATTACCATAGGGTAAAAATGGGTAAAGTAACAAAACGATACAAAACAATCTGATCTACATTCATGGTGGCTTTTCCACATCAGTTCATTGGTTTACAGAAGGGTCCATTTTTTGCAGATCTGGCATTCACCAGTTCCAGGAAAATCATGAACTGTGGGGTCCCTAGTCGCTGATCACGGAATTGTCTTTGCTTGGAGGTCATGTTTCCTGCTATATCAATTTAGATTTCGATCACCCTGCGCCAAGTGCGTTGCTCTCCGTGTAAATCATGGTAAATCAAAATCAGAAACAACAAATGATGCAAAAAATGTGAACGAAACCACACATCTGATTAGTTACCCTCCGCTCATCAGTCACATGGGAAAATCCGCCAGCTAAAATTCCATGATTTTCCTAGCTATAAACAACCCTCATTTTGATCAGGGATTCCAGCCACGTTTGATGATGGTGAATCCCCATGAATTGTCATTCCAAATGAAATTACCGTAAACATCAGATAATCAATGGCCATTTCAGGAACCGATCTATTGGAGGTACCTACCATATATTATATAAGGCCTAAGGCCTATGAAATTTCAAGGAATATCCCCAGAACATATGCCCAAAAATATGGTACTAACGTAATTACCTCCATTTTAGGATCCTGAAATTTTGATCAATGGGAATTTCAGCATCCTAAAATGGAGGTACTGTACCATATAAGGCAATATTTTGTGGGGATATTCCCTGAAATTAAGGCCTTATATATGGTAGGTACCTCCAATAGATCGGTTCCTGAGATGGCCAGTGATTTGAGATAACATCAGAAAACATCAGTATGAGATCCCCATGAACTCTAGTCTTTCTCCAGCCATGTTGCCACCAAGGGGCTGTGGTGAACTTACTGTCTGGCTGCTCATCCATCATGGCAAAGGGATCAAAGGCAACTTCACCCTGCACCGGCATCTCCTGGGAATACTTTTTGTTGCGCTGCAGTTTTCCACTGAAGATTCTGGATTTACTACTGTTGATGGGCTAAAAGAAGGGATATCATGGGACATTTCATGGGATCGGAAGCAAAATTTCTGTGGGTGATAATGGTGATAGTGAAAACCATAGCTTCTTTTGGGCCCCCCATATCCCAACTTACGGAAGTTATTTCATCCCATAGTTCTACCCCCCTTAATCCCAACTGCCTGCACCCGCGGTGACACGCTTGTGAAGCTGCTGGAAGCTCCCAAATCATCCATATTTTAGGATTTTCCATGAATTTTGCACCATCCAGCAGGGTACCAGCATTTATGGAAAGCCCCGTTTCCATAAAGATGGCAACTTGGATAACTTGGATGATCGGAAGTGGAATCCTGGAAGGGGAGTCACTCATAAAATGCTCGTGTCCTCGGTGCGAAAGCGGATGGGTTTGCCATCTGCTTGTTGCCAGTTCACTTCGTAGACCTGTCGATATCTGCCGATGTTGAGATCGGCTGAGAATCGAATCCGATGAACTAAGACATGCTCCAAGCTCACAATGCGCGGAAAATCGGTGATTTTTTTTGGTTTTTTTTCTTCGGGAAAAGAAATCAAGATTGGCTCCATGTTCAACCCCAAACCAATAGGATTCAAACATGTACTGTATAGGTTCTATTGATTTTAGGTCTCAGAGATCCAAACCCTTTCGTTTGTAGACTCACTTCTGGTCGCCGAAATGGATTGGATCAGCTCTGCTCTACCGCCTATGTATTTTTATTCTAGAGCCTCTAGAAATGTTTGGAAATGTTTAGAAATGTTTGGAAATGTTTGGAAATTCACCCAAAGGAAACCAAATCCCGGCAGAACACATTCCATTCGTTCTGAGTTCAGAATTCCATGGCATGGACTTCCCACATCTCCATCACCAGCTGCCGCGCCGTCAAAGGGACTGGAAAGGTGACAGACAGAAGGTTGGCCCATTGCGACCTGGCTTCAGTGGGAATTTAAGTCATGGTTTTTTCGCTGGTTGGTGGTTTTAACCCCTCTGAAAAATGATGGAGTGAAAGTCACTTGGGATGATGACATTCCCAATTTATGGAAAAATAAAAAATAAAAAGAAATAACTGGTTGGTGGTTTTAAACACCTTGAAGAATATGAGTTCGTCAATGGGAAGGGAAAAAAAACCATATATGAAATGGAAAATAAAAGCCATGTTCCAAACCACCAACCAGGTAGATGTTTGTAGCGCAAAATTCACTCATGAAGACTAAAACTGTCAGACCTGGTCAGCCACTTGGGGCGTGTTTTCAGAAAATGTTCAAAGAAAGGTGTCCAACTCAACATCCATCAACATGGATATCCCATTTTACTGCCCCAGTTTTTTTTGGCCCAATTCAATCCACCTATCCCAATCAATATCCATCCACATCGCACTGTTCAGGCGCCATGCGATTGGATCAAGGTCAAGGGGAGTTGTTGTTGCTGTTATGTTGTTGTTGTGGTTGTGAAGCGCACTAAACACCATAATAAACCAGTAAGGATGTAGATTCTTGCAGACAAGCCTAAGTTGAAGATGATGAAGATGTTGTTCGGATAAGAAATTCGAGTATCACCCACGGTATTGGCTGTATTAATGAGCAGTTTCATGGTTGATTTTAGTTTAAATGTGTCTGCACCGAAAGCATTGCTTGTTCTGTCAAGGAACACCAGAAATTCTCCCGATGTTTTGGAGACATGCAAAATGGTTGCTGGGACTTTACAATATCCTGTTTTCTCGGTATAGCTTTTGCAGCTCCTTTCCTTTCCTCCCATGATCTATGTAATTAATCGCGTGGCCCAAAAATAATATTCTATATTAATATGTAGTTCACAATCCGACGTCTAACTTTGTTTATCACCATGTATTCACCATGTACGTAATAACTAATAACTGTAATAACTGTAGTAACTGTAATAACCTTGATCATCAATGTATCATCAATATATCATCGTTCATCTTCATCCGTGTTTTGACATGTGAATAATCCCATCACCCAAAAATCTTAAACACCCCATAAATTTCAGAAATCGTCCCAATGGAATGTGGAAATTCCCTACAAAACCATGGTTTCTAAGGGGGGGTTAATCTTCAGATCACCGATCACCAAAAGACAACCGCGACCTCCGTAAGCCCTTGAGGCAACGGAAGGCTAAGAAGGCGGCTTTCCTCAGGAATTTCCCGCTGCTTTTTCAAAGGTGGCCTTGTGGAAATAGTAAATTGATAGTAAACCATGATAGTATATCATAAACTATATTAGTGACAGTATATTGACATATAATTATCTATATATATATATATATATTATGTTATATGATTATAATAGTATGAGACATTGATAACCTTAGTAATACTTAGTAACACCTTGGAACCATGGGGGGTCTTGGCATGTCTTTTTTACCATCTGGACAGATCGACAGAGCCCAGCAGATCCGAGTGACGAAAAATTTTCACAACGGTCTGTCCGAAAATGACTCCTACTGTTGATGGAAGAAATCCTACACCAGTTGATAGGTGGTTTATCCCATTATTTATAGGGTTTCAACCATCTAAGGTGGTGCAGGATTTCTTCCATCCACAGTATCATAGGCAGAAATCCGATGAGTGATCGCCAAAAACAAAAGAAACAGCTAAAGTTATCTTTAAAGATTCATGGTGAACGATGCCATGTTTAAATTTGGGGAGACGGCATGGTTCACAAATGATGGCATCCTCGAAAAATGCATGCAGATGCAATCGCACAAGCAGATTCTGCTGATCAAGCTTCAAGGTGGTCACCAAGCCAATCGTTCCAAGATTGATACACACCTGTCATCGCAGCAGTCGAACAACAAAAGGGGGATCATGGTGGAACAAACGAGGTTTAGCTGGGCATCCAAATGTCTATAAATCATTTGTGGGCAGGAAAAAAAAAACAAACAAAACTAAACAAAATTAAACAATTTCAATTTCCAAGCTTTACTCCCTACGAACCTCTAGGGTCTGCCAGGAAATCGCGGCGGTCGAAATATGAGCTGCTTGGGGGTGTGGAGCATCAAGCGGAGGTTGGGATCTTTGGTTAAGCGGCTTCACCCAAGACCCAAATTGATTGATCAAGAAACATCAAGGTTTGACATTGTTGGATAGATCAAGAATCAATGGAATTCAATGGAATTCAATGGAATTCTCATGGCCATTCAATTGATTCAGAAATATTGATCCAAATCCAAATATCAAGAAACATCCTAAGATAGATCTGACATGATGTTGTTTAGCCCTTCCCGGGCCGTTCCCATTTGCGGCCCAAATCCTTCAGCTCAACACCAAAGATACCCCAACACTTGAGCACCCCACATTTGAGGAAACGGAATAGTCACAACCGCAGGTGCAAAGCGTTCTGGCGCGGCTCGGAGATCAGAAACCCCAAGGTTCAGCAAGGCCAAATGGCTGTGTATATCAACTTGAAACATGGGGTCTGTAAGATAAGTTTGTTTTTGCTGGACTTGGCAACTTAATATGGGTTCCATCTTGAATTTAGGGAGTGAATCAAGATTTCTGTCATCTGGTCATGGCAAGTGTCATGCTTCCGCACTTACACCTGTTGAAAATGTCTCCGAACAGTTCCAATTACTTGCCTTGAGTGATCTCAACCATTGATTACATGACTTGGATATTACTTGGACACCCCAAGGGGGTCTGGAGTTCGGAATTGGATCTCGAGTACATCAAGAGAAGGAATGAGGCACAAGCGTTACTAAAGGAGTGAATCAGGCAAAATGAGGAATCAGGACAAAATATGACAAAATGCTAAAAACCTAAACTTCAGGAATTCAGGAAATAATATCTTTAAAAAAAACAACATCTATACATGGACTTTCGAAAAAGCAACAAAATCAGCAAAGCATCACCAACTCTCAGGCTATCTCAGGCTGCCACTGAGTTTGGTTGCTGGGAACCTTCCAAGTCAACGCCTCAGATGTGCCCACCATTGACTCGGCATCCGATGAATGGACTGGACGACAGCCGAGGACCCCAAACGTACTGAGGACGCAAGTCCATGGAAGCGATGTAGGCCTTAGCGATAAAGCCATGCGAAATAGCCTGGACGCTACATGAAAAATGTGGAACATATGGCTGCTTTTTTCTGGCAGAACGCCACCAAGAAACGAATTGATGATTTCTTCAGAGATTTTGTTTCAGCTGAAAGCCATAGCTGACTGGTGCTTTTTTTTATAGACTCATGGGTACTGTAGCGTTGTTCGCCCAGTTTTTGGGTACCCCCAGCCGTTGAAAGAGGTGGATGTCCTGGTCCATTCACCCTTCATTTCTCTGGCTGAATTCCATCACAGTGAGGTCATGATTTAAGTCATGATCCAATTCATCATATAATGGTGATACAATGAGGATATATTAGGATATATTAGGATATAATTGTAATAATATAATATAACTGTGATGTAATGGGATATATATATACTGGTTACCCCAGATTTACTTTGCACTCGGTATTGTTTCTGTGGGTTTTCTGCGGTTTGTTGTGAGCTCGTGATCTCCCGAAACAACCTGGACCATGGTGCCATGGCCCCCAGGTTGGGCGCCCCCAACCAGCTGCTGCAAAGTCAGCCCGAGGCCATAGAGGAAACAAACCACGGAGATGATAAACACCCAAGCTCGACCTGGGCGAAGCTGGAAATCCATGGCTTTTGGGGATCATCTCAGATTGGTTCCCACTGGGCCGAGGCCAAGATGTGAATAAGAAGGCACCATGATCTTCAATGCAGGGAGCTAGTAACCGTGGTGTCAAATCTCCCAAAAAAATCTTCTCAAAAAGAAGGTGGGTGTTGAACTGATTCACATCATTATTACCATATACTATCTGATAGTATATCATGTTGCGGGTTTCAACCCCCCGAACAAAGATGCTCGTCATTGGGGATCAGAATCCCATTTTCAACGGTATCCTCTTGACATCCCCATGCTCTTACATCCACTTTGCCACATTTCTTCTATGGTTTGTCTCAAAGAGCTGGCATGTTGAACTGGTCACGTCAAAAAAATATAACATATTATATCACATAGCATCCAATATTAATATAATATAACATCCATCTTGCAACATGATCACATCCTAACTTCCACGTTTTTCTCCGTCAAAATCAATCCCCAGTCGCGGACTCCCACCTCTGAGTGCCTGACTCATCCTGATCGGATAGCGCCTACGAAATCCATGGCTACAGGGATATGCTGGCAATATATGGGGTATTTTGAAACTCAACAATTAGTGATACTATATAATAATATATATATATACATATATATCTGTCAAAGTCATTATAAATATATATATATATATGTATATTATGGTTGTATTCAGCAGTTTGACTATTGTTCGCAGGATTTCCGGTTACATGTCAGTTGTACAGCTATGTACAGTTGGTCGGTCTTTGTCTTACCGGTTCCGGTCAGCAACAGGCTTTTCCGGGTTTTTCTGGGCGCCCTGCATGAAGGCAAAAAGGATCATTGGACAGACCACAAAGAGCAGCACCAGCAAGTTCCACACCTCAGCGGAAGTAACGACTGGAACCCGCGGATTGGACGCTGCTTCGACCAGGGGATCCAGGCCAGAATGATCGGGGCCAAAGCGACGGCCAACCTCGGCGGCAAATTTTTTTGGAGGAAAAGGAGTGGAACATTTGGACCCGTGATACGAAGCAAAGTCCGATGGGCGAAGCCACATGAGATGTAGCACATGCTATCACCAAAGCGAGATATCTCGGCAATGGTTCCATCATTGTTCGCTCGCAGCAAGAGGAACATCCTGGGCAGTCTGGCTGCCCAGCTGCTGAACGATATTTAACTTGGATTAGCCAGGAAAGGCATGAAAATAAAGTCTGATTGGCCCTTCATAATCCCAGGTGAAATAAAATCTGACGTTGGAGCCATCTTGTCTTGGAAACCCAAAGAAAACAACAGAACATGCACTTCCCAAAGCCTCCTCATCACAAAACAAACAACCAAGCACATGCATATGAATTGTCATCCTCGGCGAGATCGAACACCTGAGACTTCTCTGTTGCCATCAGCATCCATCGCAAGCATCGGATCTAAGTATGGGTCCAAAAAAGATTCACCGCCGATGTTGCTCATTTAACTATTTTACTAGCAGCATCTAGCAGCAAAACCATCCATCTTTGCCCACTATAAATGTACTTTACATTAAATTATGTTTTAGAAAACATTGCAAAACCCTGGAAAAAACTAGATTTTTTCGAAAAAACACTTTAAAAAAACATGGCAAAACCCTGGAAACAAACGATAAAACCATATAAAACCCATCAATTTTGGGGGATACCCCAAGGACCTCAACCAAAGTCGGCCCTGAGGACTCCTGCGCCATCCCGAGCACGCGGGCGCATGGCAGGTGCTCTGCTGTAGCAAGACGCAGCAAGGGCCTGGAGACTGGACCATTATGATGTGCCAATATTTTTGGCATGTGGTTCATAGATGTTCATAGGCCATATATTTCATCCAGTAATGATAGTAATGTTATAGCCAGGAAGTTTTCCTTTGATTTTTCTGGAAAATTAACAACTATAATGTAGGATGCATGTCCAAAGTCACTCTTCGATCTGGGAACCTGGGACGCAGCCCCCCGGGGACGAACCATTTGCATGTTTTTTGGTGAAACCCTGCCGGCCTCCCAAATTCCCATATCTCTGTGTGTGTGTGTCATACTAAGAAACTAAAGCCGCACGTGTGATTTTCTGCATGTCTTCAAGAAAAATGACCGGCAATATTCACTCAGAGCTCACATTTTAGCTCACACTGCTGGTATTTTCAATCCATAGGCCACCAGCATCAAAGTTTCTTGACCTCAAGCCATTAAGAAGCTGCAATCCACAAGGGCGTTGCACCGCTGTGTGCTGCTCGATCTTTGGCTGCACTAACTTCTACTAGAAACCGCACAATGTCGAGGTTGCCATTCAGAGCTGCAACCCACAACGGGGTTCTACCCTTATTATTTGTTTGATCTTTGGTTGCAGCATTTTTCGGCTAGAAACCGTACAATGTGGAGGTGGCCATGTCGTGCTGCAACCCACAAGGGTGTTCTACTATTGTTATCTGTTTGATCTTTGGCTGCACCAACTTCTACCAGAAGCCGCACCATGTCGAGGTTACCATTTTCAGCTGCAAGCAACAAAGGCGTTGCACCAGAGTTATCTGCTTGATCTTTGGCTGCACCAACATCGACTAGAAACCGGACGACGTCGAGCTTGCCATTTAGAGCTGCAGTGAACAAGGGCGTTGCAACAGCGTTTGCTGCTTGATCTTTGGCTGCATCAACATCCACCAAAAACTGGGCAACGGGGTTCTTGCAGCATTTTCGGCTAGAAACCGTACGACGTCGAGGTGTCCACTTCGTGCTGCAACCCACAAGGGTGTTCTACGATTGTTATCTGTTTGATCTTTGGCTGCACCAACATCGACTAGAAACCGGACGACGTCGAGCTTGCCATTTTCAGCTGCAAGCAACAAGGGTGTTTCACCAGCAATATTTGCTTGATCTTTGGCTGCACCAACATCGACTAGAAACCGCACCATGTCGACGTTACCATTTTCAGCTGCAAGCAACAAAGGCGTTGCACCAGAGTTATCTGCTTGATCTTTGGCTGCACCAACATCGACTAGAAACCGGACGACGTCGATGTGGCCATTTTGAGCTGCAGTGAACAAGGGCGTTTCACCAGCGTTTGCTGCTTGATCTTTGGCTGCACCAACATCGACTAGAAACCGGACGATGTCGAGGTGGCCATTTTGAGCTGCAGTGAACAAGGGCGTTGCACCAGGGTTATCTGCTTGATCTTTGGCTAGACCAACTTCTACTAGAAACCGCACAATGTCGAGGTGACCATTTCGTGCTGCAACCCACAAGGGTGTTCTACTATTGTTATCTGTTTGATCTTTGGCTGCACCAACATCGACTAGAAACCGGACGACGTAGAGGTGGCCATTTTCAGCTGCAATCGACAAGGGCGTTGCACCAGACTTATCTGGCTGATCTTTGGTTGCACCAACATTGACTAGAATCCGGACGACGTCGAGGTGGCCATTTTCAGCTGCAATCGACAAGGGCGTTGCACCAGACTTATCTGGCTGATCTTTGGTTGCACCAACATTGACTAGAAACCGCACAATGTCGAGGTGATCATTTCGTGCTGCAACCCACAAGGGTGTTCTACCATTGTATCCTGTTTGATCTTTGGCTGCACCAACATCGACTAGAATCCGGACGACGTCGAGCTTGCCATTTTGAGCTGCAGTGAACAAGGGCGTTTCACCAGCGTTTGCTGCTTGATCTTTGGCTGCACCAACATCGACTAGAAACCGGACGATGTCGAGGTGGCCATTTTGAGCTGCAGTGAACAAGGGCGTTGCACCAGGGTTATCTGCTTGATCTTTGGCTAGACCAACTTCTACTAGAAACCGCACAATGTCGAGGTGACCATTTCGTGCTGCAACCCACAAGGGTGTTCTACTATTGTTATCTGTTTGATCTTTGGCTGCACCAACATCGACTAGAAACCGCACAATGTCGAGGTGGCCATGTCGTGCTGCAACCCACAAGGGTGTTCTACTATTGTTATCTGTTTGATCTTTGGCTGCACCAACTTCTACCAGAAGCCGCACCATGTCGAGGTTACCATTTTCAGCTGCAAGCAACAAAGGCGTTGCACCACGTTTATCTGCTTGATCTTTGGCTGCACCAACATCGACTAGAAACCGCACAATGTCGAGGTGGCCATTTCGTGCTGCAACCCACAAGGGTGTTCTACTATTGTTATCTGGCTGATCTTTGGTTGCACCAACATTGACTAGAATCCGGACGACGTCGAGCTTGCCATTTTGAGCTGCAGTGAACAAGGGCGTTGCACCAGCGTTTGCTGCTTGATCTTTGGCTGCACCAACATCGACTAGAAACCGCACAATGTCGAGGTCGCCATTTCGTGCTGCAACCCACAAGGGTGTTCTACTATTGTTATCTGGCTGATCTTTGGTTGCACCAACATTGACTAGAATCCGGACGACGTCGAGCTTGCCATTTTGAGCTGCAGTGAACAAGGGCGTTGCACCAGCGTTTGCTGCTTGATCTTTGGCTGCACCAACATCGACTAGAAACCGCACAATGTCGAGGTGGCCATTTCGTGCTGCAACCCACAAGGGTGTTATACTATTGTTATCTGGCTGATCTTTGGTTGCACCAACATTGACTAGAATCCGGACGACGTCGAGGTGGCCATTTTGAGCTGCAACCCACAATGGGGTTCTACCATTGTTATTTGTTTGATCTTTGCTTGCACCATTTTCGGCTAGAAACCGTACGACGTCGATGTGGCCATTTTGAGCTGCACGGAACATTGGTGTCCGTCCTCGGGCAATCTCAGGCTCATCTGTCTTTGCTCCTGCCTCCAATAACAGTTCCACAAGTTGAACGTGTCCCTGCTCTGCAGCGTGAAACAAGGGCGTCTTGCCATCTGTCTTTGCGTCATTGGGATTTCGTGGTTGTTGCAGCAACTGTTCAAGAGCAACTAAATCATTGTCCTGAGAGGCTGAGATCATTTTCTGTGTTTCTTCATCATCAGGTGCCCAGAAGTCCAAGACCACCACCTGGATCTTAAGTGGAGTTGGAGTTAGAACGTCATCATCCTGGATCTCATGCAAATCATCTTCACCAAAAAACCTTTGCTTGAATCTGGAAATGCCAACTTTAGCTGCCAAGGCTTTCTTCACTGCCTTGGCTGTTTGGCCTTGTAGTTCATCTTCAAGGACTGTGAGCGTCTCGCCCGATGCTAGGAAACAAAACTCCATTGCTGCAAGACGCAAGATGATGTGTGTGCGTGTATACAAAGCATTACACAACAATCTCATAATGGATAAAATGTCGATAAACAAATGTCACAATTGACCTGCCAAACGTTAGATATGCACAGCAAACCTTCACGATAAGAATACATGCTATACACAGTACTCCATGGTGCTTCTTGAACGTTTTCAGTCTGGACAGTCTTCACCTGCAGCATATGTCATGATAGGGAGGGCGCTGGGGAAGAACCCTCCCGAAGATTAAGATCTTCTGGCAATTGCATCTGAACCTTTGCTGACAAACATTGATTTCCTGTATTGCAATTGGAAGAGCATGCCACTGAAATCATTTGGTTTTGGGATTGTAGCACGCAGTCATATTTGTTCGAGCAGTGCTACAACTTGTACAACTATAACTACATGTGCCCATTGAACGCCTTTCTTGACAGCAAAATCAGCCTAAAAACTTTCAAAAAAAGAAGTCCAGAAAAGGAAGGCAAAGATGGATGAAGGTGTTGAGAGAAAACTACATCTAACTGGATACTCCCAATGGTTGATTCCCTATAAGCCCATCATATTCCTATGATGATTGAATCATATCCCATTTTTTGGATATTATTATATATTGTTACTATTACTTGGGTCAAGTTCCCATTTCCATCGTTAAAAACGCACCAATTGGTGTCATTCAACCGTCATTTCCACCCGGCCAAGGCTTTCCACCGTCGCCTGTAAGCAGCCAAGGCTTTCCAAACCGAGCGAATGCATGGGCAGTGTCGATTCACCCCGGACACGTCAAGGATGAAATCCTGGACTTTGATGATTTCCCATGGGAAATCCTGGAGTGAAACCAGCCAGAAAATGCTGGGATTTCCAATGGCCAACAGAAAGGAGGAAAAAAAACAAGAGTGGTGCAGGATGGTGCACTAACCCGAATCGTGGTTTTTGTCAACATAAGAGACATACCCAACCTCTACAGTTCCAAACCCCCATGTATAGTGCCATTTCAATAGATGTTCCCATGAAAAATAGCTATAGTTCATCCCCTAGAACTGTTCCATTGCTGCCCATGGCTACCCCTAAATCCACCGGCGAATCATAATATTCCTGAGTTAAAACTGCTATTTTTGTGGCATCTCCATTTTCAGACACACCCAAATCTCATACGGTTGTGGTCTGATTATATCCGTGATATATATATATATATAACCACATAAACGGCTCTCATTAATTTCCGTTGATATCCCATGTTTCTTTCCGTTTCATCTACAAAACTCAATCCCTGTTTGTCAATAACTATCCCATCATATCCCCTTAAATATTCATCAAATTCCTATTGCTGATGGTTAACCCCCTGTCAAAATACATCTCATTTTGTTGGTGATATATCCCATCATACTACCATTAGCCATTGTTGATGGTGAAAGACCCATTCATCCAATCTCCCCAATATCGAACACCAGCATGGAACCAAGCCATCCCTATGTCTGGATAGATCATAGTAATTCACCAAGCTGAATAAGGCGTTTTTTTGGCCACCTTGGGAGAGTTACCCCTACGAATCGTTTTTAGGGTTATATCCATCTGTATATCTGTATTTATATACCTATATATCTATCTATATATATATGTATATATATATACCATTATATCTCCATACTGTAATTGTTTATATATTCCTATTAGATTCCCATTCTATTCCCATCATTGTTGTTGGAGAAGGGATTCGCCATTAAATAAACCACCACATAATATACTAAGAAGAAGGGACTAATATCTATGTCGTTGGGTATATTCCCATGCTCATTGATTAGTTGGTTCCCATCCTTGACTGGTTAGATTCCCCATAAATGGTTGGTTAAACTCCCATGAATTGTCCATTAGTGTCCATTATCATTATTATCAATATCCCGCTATACTATAGTTGATATGATATGGTTGATTACTATTTATATTTTGTCATATCCATCAATGGTTGGTTATACATTCTACAATGAGGACTACTATTAACATCTGGGATTAAGGGGTATTCCCATAAAGTAATCAATAATATTACTTAAGAACAATTAAGATATGTATATATCATGATATTCTTTTAAAAAAAAGTATGAAGATTATTATCCCTTAAGATCTATAAATAATCTAATAATCTGGGATCTTATGGTACCCTCTGGTAATTTAACGTAGCTATGGGAAATCACCATTTTTAATGGGAAAATCAACTATTAATGGCCATTTTCAATCGCTACGTTAAATTACCAGAGGGTATGTTTTAATATGTTTTTATGGATTTCTGGGATCTCCCCCACCTTCTGCGTTTGACCGATCAGAGCCAGGTCGTGGATCGTGACGCCCAACCAGGCCACAAAGGTCAGAACCAGCCACAGCATCGCCCAAACACCTGACGATCAGTCACCAGACAGTCACCATGGTGGATGCAAGGGATGAAATATGGGGGTGTTTGAACAAAATGGTGGATGAAATATCATGAAATCACATATTTCGGATCAAAAAATGGGTTTGTCCAAAATTTGCTAGAAAATTCATGGTCAATGGATTGGTTTAAGGGAAAATCTGAACCGGAAACCATGGTTAAAATACCATCAAATATAGGGCTTTCCGGTTAAAATTTTCCCATCATCCAATTCTATGACATGGTGGATGCAAGGGATGAAATATCCATGGAAATCCACCATATTTCGGATCAAAAACTGGGGGTGTTTTTTTTTTTAATTTGGGGGGATAGGATGAATGGGTCTTTAACCATCAACAATGGCTAATATTGGCTAATGGCCATGTGATGGGATATATCATCAACAAAATGAGATGTATTTTGACAGGGGGTTAACCATCAGCAATAGGATTTTTATGGATATTTCAGGGGATATGATGGGATAGTTATTAACAAACAGGGATTGAATTTTGGAGATGGTAACCAAAGAAACATGGGATATGAATGGAAAGTAGTGGGAACCAACCAATTATGAGGGTATATGGAGATATATATAATTGAATATAGTGGAATATAACCAATGAAAATGGGAACATAACCAACATAATATGGTATATAAATGGGAAATGCAACCGTTTATGGTTTTATATGGATGTACACATATATATATAATATGTAATGATAGGATATATCACAAACCATGTAATATTAATGGGGATGAATGGGCAAGAAAAGTACGGGACTAGTATGGATTTATTTGCTGTGGATTCTGGGATGTCTGGGATGTAAGACTTAAACCATTGCAGATTTACCCTCTGGTAATTTAACATAGCTATTGAAAATGGTGATTTATAGTGGATTTTCCCATGAAAAATTGTGATTTTCCATAGCTATGTTAGTTTACCAGAGGGTATAGCCGATAATTTGAACACTGATGGTCTCACAAGTCATGGAGACCCAAATCATCCAAACTGTGTTTTTGTTGGGCCCCATGGGGAAAAAAAACTCATCTGAATGTGGCTGAAAAAATGATGGATACCAGCAATATATGGGCCACTTGATGTAGGGAAACTGGTGACTAAGCAGTGGATTGAATGGGGTAGTTTCAAACAAACCCTATCTGTATATGGTTTATATATGGTCCCCCGTCACCAGAAATCATCATCAATTCATATCAACTCCATGTCCATCCACCACCGGCATTGGTGGAATTATGAAGCCAGGCGTGGCTAGAAAATCCAGTTTCTGATTTTTTCTAAGAGGATTTCCACATGTTTGTTGGTCAAATGCCCCATGTTTGTTGCGGCCCAAATGCCCCCATGCCTGCCTAAAATGTCATAGTACTGGCCACCCGAACCGCCCATTGCCATGGCCAACCTCAGCACCCAAAAGCCACATGACCCAAGACCCAACAGTAAGCCCAATAAGACCAAAGGCAAAATGAATCCCAAAACAGCCGCAGTGTGCGCCCAAAATGAAGCCCACTGAAAAAAACCGAGCACTCGCACGGTGTGCCCAAGTCTTGGGTGCGCAGCTTGACGTCCCTGGAGCTTGGAATGCATATATATACATATGTAGAGATCGATAGATATGAATATATGCATATATATATAGATAGATATGAACATATACATATATATATATATAGATACATATGAATATATATATATATATACACATATTATATGTGTAATCTGAACACTTTGAATTATGAGTTTCGGAACTGAAGAACCATTCCACTCTCACCATCATTTGCCAAGCTTGTTTGTAGATCAGGTAGAAATTCACTGGCCAATAGCCTTGAGATCTTTGAGTTCCCGTGCCTGCAAGCCAGATCCAAATCTGGAGCCTTGCAGAAATACTGCGCCAGAAACTCCTGCAGCGTCTCCCAACAGCAGGTCCCAGAGATCCACCAAGTTTGGTCAGCTCTCGGCTCTCGGTGTTCGAAAAAGATCATCCTATTTCCGGGGTAAACCGTTACAAGTTAACAGTTAAAGTTAACAGTTGGGCAAATTTTATCCTCTGGGAATCAAACATGGCTTGCTGGAAAATCCCCGCGCAGATGAGAAAAGCCCACTAAAACCTCCATTTAGTTTGGGGATTTTCCGGCCAAGTTCGATGACACCTGAGGATAGATGCGGGCTGAGTCATCTCCTGGTTATGTCCGGGAACCTGAAAGAGCACCTCGTCCTGGCGCAGAGGTATTGAGGGTCTTGAGGGTCCAGCAAACCCTCCAAAAAGCTCTATAAATGGTGGATCTTGGAAATATGTTTGTATGTTTACTGGAGGGTAGAATCTAGGTTTCTCCGAAAATGGCGGCGAAAAAAACAATGTCCAATGGTTTATCATGATTTTCCTCATTAAGAATTGGCTACCGTGCTCGGGGATGTAACATGATAGGATATGTATATATATAACTCCATTTTAAGATACACCCATTTAAGGCCAAAAAAATGAATCATTAAGATTCACTGATGGGTCAATGTCCATCTGAAACTCGTCAAACACAAAGTGAGACTACCCCAGTTACAAGGTGGTGGTGGTTTATAAACCAACTTTCTTCTCTTGGAGACGCGTTTCTAAGTCAACCGACGGAGCCCCACAATTCCTCTGGATTGTTCCAAGTGCTCAAAGCAAAAACCTCAGCCAAATCAACCAGTGGCCATCCACACGGAAGTTGGTAATTAGATGAATTAGTCACCATCATGCGACCTGATGCATTGCTCTTCCGAATACACATAGCATACATGTTTTTGTTAATCATTATAAGAGGTACTAAACCGTACTTGTGTGCGTTAGGACTTCTTTGAAACTCTACCAAGAAACCACGCACTGCTTCTCAATTCTGCGCAGAGATGTGGATTATTGTGGATTTATACCCCATCTTCATGTGTTTTTGTTGCCGAAATGGAGAAATGGGTAGCTCTCCCAACAACATCCCTCCACGCCAGGGTATCCGACTCTGTCGTAGCGCTGGGGCCATTCTGAGAGACAAAGCACCCGTTGAGACGTGGGCTCATCCAAGTCTAATGAAGAAACCTCCAGCCACCCGCGAGCAAACCACTATAAACCACTAGCCAACCACTAGTATGCCAAGGAACAGCAAAGCGTTTCGGTGTTCAGCATCGCTGTTAGCTGATTCTGTTGCTTGCAATAAGAGCCAAAAAGAGTTTGGCAGAGTCTGTACATGGGAATCAATCGGCTGCTTTTTGGCTGCTAAGGTTCCGGCATTCATGCCTGACATGTATGAATATAGGGACAGCCCCAGCGTCCCTGAAATGAAGCTAAAAAAGACCACCTAAGCGCGGCATTTCCACCGGAACCCACGGAACCGAGCTGGGGCTTGGGGTGAAATGAATTACCCTCTGGAAATTTAACATAGCCACGGTATAGATGGCCCATTTATAGATGGTCTACCTATTAATAGCATGGTGATTTTCCATGGCAAACTGTTAAATAACCAGAGGGTAACTATGTTAACCTCCGGAAGTTGGGATATGGAACCACAAATCAACTATGGTGAACTATAACCCACTTCTTTGTGGAACATCTAATCATGTCTAATTATACATGTACACACATTACATATATATATAGAGAGAGTCATATTTTATCTACAGTACTAATACAATATCCACATTCCATATCTCCATATTCTCCATATATATCTGACAAGATCAATCGTCATATCAAATATGGCAGTGGGTCAAAACTCTGGTACCTAGTGAACCTCAAGTCATAGCTGGTAGATGGTTGTGACCAACACCTAGCCTCCGGTAAACTTACAGTTCGACCCTGCCAGTCATCGGGCTTGGAAGATTAGTGAAACCACTAAAAATTGGTGATTTCAGGGTCCAACTGTTAATTTCCCAGAGGGTATATGATCATATTTACATAACAAACATAGCTATTGAAAATGGCCATCGGAATAGTTGATTTACCCATTAATAGCATGGTGGATCTTTCCATAGTTCTGTGACAGTTTACCAGAGGGTAGTCACCACTTTCTAAGTGTCTTCACCATATTATCCATATATATATATCCATGAGTATCCTAGATAAAAAAAAAAGGTGAATATCCATAAGATGTGATTTTTTTATCCATGGATAGTAGTGGCTAGTATCTAGTAGTATCTAGTAGTATCCATCAATGTCCATTACCCTCTGGTAAACTAACATAGCTATGGAAAATCATCATTTTCAATGGGAAAATCCACAATTTCGACTGGGTCATTTTCAATAGCTATTTTGACATAACCAGAGGGTAATAACCAGGTGAACTATGGTTTTCCTATGGTTTTCCTATGATTGTCCCATTAAAACCTCCATTTTCCATATTTGTTTGTATGTTTACCAGAGGGTAATAACCACTACTCTCATATCATCTCCGATGATCGGAAATCCACGCCGCCTTCACGCGCGATGGCCATCGAGGCGCTGCTCCACACCTCTTAGGCGCGCTTGGGATGGATGGCCATAGCAGCCATAGCTCGAGAGTCGGGAAACACTGGGAATTGATGGTTAGGGTTATAGTATATACTATGAACCATAAATTTCAGGAGAATATGGTTCATAGTATATACTATGAACCCTCAATAGTATATACTTTAATCAATTGAATTCTATTGATCCATGGGATTTCATCAGGTTCATAGTATATACAATAGAATACCAGCTGCTTGGTGGTTAGAAAAGCATCTTGAAAAATGATGGAGTGAAAGTCAATGGCTTTCGGGTGGACCTATCCCTATTTTTTATGACATGGAAGTCATAAAAAAATATAAAAATCATGATCCAAAGCACCAAGCAGATGGGATTTAATGATTTCATGGTCATTTTATGGGGAATTCATGGGCTGTTGGGATCCGATGGGATCTAATGGTGATGTTGGCGATGGGAAATCCAGCTGTACAAGTTGGGGATGGTTTCGACCATTCAGTAATATTGGAGATAGTTTATTCTTGGGTTTACAACATGAGTTATAGTTGTAGTCATAGTTATAGTGATACTTAGAGTTATAACCCATGCATTTAGACGTGTTTCTATGTCTCTATGTGGGTTAGATATGGCTATGCGTATGGTTGTATATGGGAGTTTTATCAGTTTTGTTCTTGGTAATGCCCAAAGAGAAGTGATTTACGAAATAAACCCGATAATGATTATATAGTGTAGTAGTGAGTAAACTCAATAAATACTGGTCGCGGCTTCAAGCATGGTGCTGGCTGTAGTCACTATATTGTCTTGCGGGACCATATTGATGAATCTACTGTATCAACCATGCAATTGAAGTATATCATTAATGGTTTCATTTGGTGAAAATACCATCACGATCGGCCACCAATTCGATGGATTGATTCAATGGAGGTGCAGGAAACTTATGGTTTGCTCTGCTTCCCATGATGAAACCCGAAGGAAACATGATAAGGCCTTACTTTCAGGGGATATCCCCATAAAAATCATAAAAGATGGCCAAACATATGGTACTAACGTACCTCCATTTTAGGATCCTGAAGATCTCCCATTGAAAAATCTTCAAAACTTGGGAAATTCTTAGGGTTTTTCTTCACCATCGATGTTCATCCAATCTTCCGATCCAGTCCAACTCCCAGCGCTGCGATTTTTCCAGCCTTCTTGCCCACATGGACCTGTTGGATGCAACGGTGCGTCAATGGAAAGTACAAATGGATGTGTGAATTCCTATAAAGTATACATTATTATACATTAAGCTAGCATGACATAGCTTGTCTATATATTCAGAGATCGTACCAGTAGGTCCACATATCACCACTGTAGAAATCGGGCTTTCCCGAATCCGCGAGACAAACTTACAGAGAGATGGCTCCTTGTGCTCTCCTTTAGCCGTCCCCAGTCGCCACATTCCCAGTTCACCATACACCAGGATCAAGACAGTCCCTATGGCCCAATCTTCAGTATCCACTTAGATCCTCGAGTCAGCATAGTTTCCTAAAGTCATCATCCCCAGGCCACTGCGAAAAATATCTCCATCGCCGGAAGCCTTTGAACAGCTCTTTGGCTGCAATGGCGATGTTTTTTTGGGATCTTTCGGAAGAAAATGGTTTTCTTCGATGGTGTAATGGGTATCTGCTTGTGTCAATGGGATTCAATGGGTATATATGACCTAGACTGACCTATACTCTTATTCATTGGTTTTCTAGAAATTGTATGAAGTTGTTGGATGACAGAGTATCCCAAGCTGCACATCTGGGAGTTGTGGGGTTCAATGTGCCAGGTGTACTTCTTTTGTTGCCTAATATCATCGAAGCCCTTGCGGGACCAAGAAGGGAACAATTCCGCCAATGGCAGTTGATTTGCTTCGTTGCGGTGAAACTGTTGAGCCAGAAAAAAACAGAGCCGGTGGCAACTCCAAACCGTCAGGTGGCGACATCTTTCCAGAATTCGAGGCCCTTCGAGAGCTGTTTTTGGTTCCGTTCCCAGTTTGAGGTTCTTTTTTTAACTATTAATAATCCGTAACATTGAGTTTAATACTATTAATGTCTATGTAATTCAATACCTTATGGTAATCAAACAACGGGTAGGAGCTGTTGGTTTCCAGCACAAGGCCGTCCACATCACAGTGGACCTTCATCTGCACAGGGCCGTCAGGATTTCCATACCTCCGGCATGGACGGTGCATCTCTTGGGTTCCACAGATTCTCAGCTCTTTTCATTTGTTTTATTGTACCATCTGGTTATGACTAACATAGCGAACTGGAAAATCCATTATAAATGGAGGTTTTTATAATGGTAAAATCATCCGTAAATGGGCCATTTGCCATAGCTGTGTGTTAAATAACCAGAGGGTAACTTGTTCAGTAGATACACATGTTAGGACAGGTTGGGACGATTTTGTATCACTAGAGCACTGAAAAATCCTGTCATATCCTGTCGAATCTGAAACCCAAACAGCCCAACGCCCAGATCCGTCGCATCCGTGGCATGTGGCACTTCTCGTAATTCTTCCGGGCCGTCTCTTCCGTCAAGGCTTGGTATGCCTTCGAGACCTGCACCCCGTGGGCCCGTGGGCCGGCTGTGCTGTACGGAGAGGCCGCCTCGGTGCAGAAAGGGTGTCCTCACCTGCTGGAAGAGAACCGGCGCCAAGGGATTATCCTTGTCCTACGGCAAAGATCAAGAAATGTCACTGGGAAACTGTGGGTTTTTGGCAAATCTGTGCTGTCTCTATGCCTTGAATCTAAAATCGAATCTGTGAGCCAGCTCAAACATGGAACAAGAGCTACAGCTACAGGCTATAGGCACCTAGGCTATGTTTTTCAAGATCCTTTCATTTGCATTACTTGGTTTAAATGCCCACCCATCTTCGTTGCCACCTGTAATGCATATGTTATGCCATCTCAATGGTTCTTGATTGTAATCCAGTGCTTTTGATCCCAACGGTCCCAGTCATTCGGATGCTCGCGCACACCAAATGCTCCTTGTCGGGATGATGTTGCAACGACTTCACTCTGTAGGCCTGTGGCCAGGAAATCGCGACGTTAGAATCCATGGTTCAAAAATGGAGTATGTCAATTGCATCCCAGTAGTTGCCTATACGTATATTATATATATGTGTGCATTATATCTCTATGTGTATAATGGTGTATATATATATATATGTATATCATAATATTATAATATTATAAAAAGTGCTATATGTTTAACGTGTATATATATAACCGTCTGTAACCCAATTGCCAATGATAAGTCCTCGGGTTTTTCGATAAACCTCCCATGTTCGTCACTATGTCCCTTCGTTTTTTTCCCAGTGATCCCAGCCATGGAAGCTGTGGTAGCCGTGGCCGTGGCCTTCTTAATTTCCTTTAGCTCAGCACCTCTGGCCACCTGCGGATGGAAAATCCCAACCCGAAAATCCATGGTCCCAGCGATAAATTCCTTTTTTTCCCATTGAAACAGGGGATTTCCCTAGCCATTACTGAAGGGTATGTCGGGTACATGTCATTTTCAGATATGGTTGGCACATTTGATCCCTACAGGTGACCAGATTTCAGAACTTCTGGGTCTGGTGATAGGATGAAGATGAATCTTGGCCATGGAAGATGAGTTTGGAGCTAGGCCCGGGAGGGGCCGCAAATGTTGGTCATGCCACATTTTGGATCTTTTGGGATATTCAATTCTTACAGAAATTCTGACATATTCTTTCCATTTCTTTCCCATATCCAAGAGGTGGGCATTTGATATTCGCATATATTCGCACACTTCATGACTTGGTATCTCTCTCTTACTGTCGATACAAGCATGGCAGCAACTCTTTCGGCCCTGTGCCACAACTCAGGTGTAACGGTGTAAGTATATACATCCCTTCTCCCAAATGATCGACCCCCACTTCGTGGGGCGCAGAGGCTCATCAAGATGTAGATTCCATAAATTCCATAAAGATTCCGAGGAAGGGGGTGTGATTCTTGGGAAAGGGATTTCGTCCCATTGCTATGGACCAATGTTTGATCGTTCTGCTGCTACAACTCTAACAGATGATCTTGGACTGCAGAGCTGTCACCACCAGATTCAGGACAGCCCCATGTAACAAGTGATCCATCTGACAGGATCGCAGCAAATGCATACATTGTAGCCTGAAGCTGCTGCACGTTCTTCAGCTGATGCTGGACTGCGGAGCTGTCACCGCCGTAGTCCGCACAGCCCCATGTAACAATTGAGCCATCTGACAGTAGAGCCGCAAACGCGCTCCAAGTGGCCTGAATCTGGTGCACATTCCTAAGACGATCTTGGACTGCAGAGCTGTCACCACCAAAGTCTGGTGCACCCCACGCAATGACTGAGCCATCTGAGAGGATCGCAGCAAATGCACTTAGTGTAGCTTGAACCCGCTGCACACTCCTGAGCTGGTTTTGGACTGCAGAGCTCTCACCACCGTTTTGAGGACTGCCCCATGTAACCACCGATCCATCTTCCAGAATTGCCGCAAATGCAGTATCTGTAGCCTGAAGTTGCTGCACATTCCTAAGAAGGTCTCGGACTGCTGAGCTGTCACCACCACATTCTGGATCGCCCCATGTCACGACAGATCCACATTCCAAAATTGCAGCGAATGCATTCGATGTAGCTTGAACCTGGCGTACACGCTTGAGCTGATCTTGGACTGAAGAGCTGTCACCACCATGATCCGCACAGCCCCATGTAACAACGGAGCCATCTGACAGGATCGCAGCAAATGCCCCATCCCTTGCGGCCTGAATCTGTTGTACACTCCTGAGCTGGTCTTGGATTGCAGAGCTCTCACCACCGTTTTGAGGACTGCCCCATGTAACCACCGATCCATCTTCCAGAATTGCAGCAAATGCGATATCTGTGGCCTGAACCTGCTGCACATTCCTAAGAAGGTCTCGGACTACTGAGCTGTCACCACCACATTCTGGATCGCCCCATGTCACGACAGATCCACATTCCAAAATTGCAGCGAATGCATTCGATGTAGCTTGAACCTGGCGTACACCCTTGAGCTGATCTTGGACTGAAGAGCTGTCACCACCATGATCCGCACAGCCCCATGTAACAACGGAGCCATCTGACAGGATCGCAGCAAATGCTCTTAGTGTGGCCTGAACCCGCTCCACATTGTTGAGCTGCTCAACGGAGCCGCCAAAATCTGGATTGCCCCAGGTCCTCCCATCTCCTCCACAGCACCACAATGCAAAGGCCGATGCCGTTGCCGCCAGTTCTGGCGCTTGCACAATGGCTGTGAGGTCATCATCATCTCGTAGCGCAGGTAGCGCAACCTGCAGGGATTCTGCGTCATTCAGCATGCGGCCTTCGTGGGTAACAAGTCTCAGGAATCCTCGCCCGAAAGACTTCTGGGACAAAATCCTCAAGTCCCTGAGGCTGGAAGACTGTGGAATTGAAAGATGTTGGCTGCAGCCATTGGGCAGCGCTACATTGAGGTGAAACATCGGCGCTTCCTACAGGTGGACAATCCATACATCCTCCTGATTGTTTCCATCATCCAAGACCATCCTAGATGCTTCCCCACCCCAATGGTATAGAATCATTTACCCTCTGGTAATTTAACATAGCTATTGAAAATTGCCCATTTATAGTGGATTTTCCCATTAAAAATGGTGGATCTTTCCATAGCAAACTGTTAAATTACCAGAGGGTATTCAAAATCATTGAAGTTGGGGTTGCTGTAACCCATCCAACGGTTTAGGATCTATGAAAAATCTCTTCAATGGGCTCCTTTGAGGTTGCTGTAGATCATCCAAATACCATTTGCTTCACGTTTTGCTTCAACTTTGCCATGTCAAGATCCTGATTTTTCTGGAGCCCAGCGACGCAATGTCCCACGTTTTCTGCAAAATTACGGGGCCAATGAGGTCAAGAGTATGGGAACTGAATGTAATCATAGCCTATTGCTGTTTTTTATGGATAAGGGATGATAAGGGTATAACTGAATGCAATCTACCGGCGAGTTTTTTCACGGTATGGGTAGTATGGGTTTCAAGTTTCAACCCAAAAAATCCGGGAGAAAAAAAAGCAGAGGCAACATCCATCCACAGCCTGGGACCTGAAACCACAATCCCAATTTCATCACCCCCGAAAATTGACAAGGAAAGTATCGTTAAATGACGTCAAATTACCAGGATTACCATTCTCCAATAGGAAAATCATAATTTTTCAGACCTAAACTGATCATTTTTTGGGGGGTTCCATTGGTTCCATTGGTCCCACTTTAGGGAATGCGTCACGACCGTCATTCGCAGACCGGGATTTCGGACCCCCAAGATGTCGTAGGGGTCGAAGGTTCTCAACTCCGTGGGTGCATCCTCCATGGAATGATCATCATGATCATCCGGGCATTAAGTGGTGTGCCATAATATATAGCCTCTGGTTATGACTAACATAGCCATGGTATAGATGGCCCATAGATATAGATGGTTTACCGTTCTTAATAGCATGGTGATTTTCCATGGCAAACTGTTAGTCATAACCAGAAATATGTAACCAGATGGTATATGGTTGGAAATAGGACTATCTGATCATTCTGGCATTGAGTTATATCA